GTATGATGAGGCTCATTCTGGGAATGATTTGTGATGTAACGATGGAAAATAAGCAGGCCATAATTGGAGGTTTCCACATTCACCCATATGACCTGTGGGAATGCTGCAGAGACTGGGAAGTGACGGCAGAGCAGTGACTGCTCAATGGGAGGTGAGGGGAGAGGATATTTACACTCCAGCATAAAAGCAGAGAGAAAAATGATAAGCATACATCATTTCTGTTAGGCAACTCTTCCTGAAATCTGATACAGGCAAAGCTGTTGTGCACAGATGATCAAACCCAGCCTACCCAAAGAAAATGTTGCAGATCTTCTTGGAACCTCACATGTCATCTCCCCGGGGAAGTCTTCCCCCCTCCCCTGAAATCTTTTTCATTCAAAAATTAATCGTGCTCTTTCCTCTATACCAGGCATCCTCAAACTATGGCCTGCGGGCCACATGTGGCCACCTAGGACATTTATCTGGCCTGCCAGGTGTTTTTGCCGCCGCTGCTTGTCCTGCTTAGCAGCCAACTCATCCCAGGGCCTGCAGTCCAGCCCTCCAACAGTCTGAGGAACAGTGAACTGGCCCCCGTTTAAAAAGTTTGAGGAACCCTGCCTATACTCTCATAATATGTTGCTTATACTTTTGATTAACTGCTCTCTTGTTTTTGTTTATTTTTTCATATGGCTGTATACATTATTAGACTAAAAGATATTCAAGGTAGAAGATATCTTATTAATTTATTTATCATCGCAATTTATCTTTTGTCTTTCTTATACTATGCTTGTGAAAATCTTGACCTCATTAAAAAAGAACTCCCCAAATTTGTTCACTGTGCTAATTCTTTCCTAGACATGACCCTCTAGGATCCCCTGATAAGAACATAATTCTGTCAATTCCTATAGTGATTATATTTTAAAGTAGAGAACTAGACCAACTCCAAAAAAGTGTCATGTGAAGCTGCCATTTCTAACAATAGGACACAACTCAAAGGAAGTAGGCAGTGAAGTTAGAATCAAACTGGGAAGTCCCAAGAGAAAGAATACCCCACTTTACAAATACCCATTAAGTTGCAATTCAATTAAAGCATCTGAAAGGAATTCATAAGTATCAGCAGACCCTGTAATTGCTTAATTAAGGATAGAAGCCTAGCAAACACATAACCACAATAACAGCCTGATTCATTAGCACCTCTGTGATAGCAGAATGGGATTTCTCACTTAAACATACATTGGCTTTAATTGTGTAATTTAGTTAGGCACTGGTAATCAATGGGGACCCACCGTTCCTGGGGCCAGGAGATGAGAAGGATATTCCTGTTCACCTTCCCTCCCTTCCTCTCATTAGAAGTTTTTGGTCTATTAAAATAGGCAGTTGATATTCCAATTAGGATTGGCTGGAGAAGAGACCTTAAGGAGAAAGAAGGAAATGAGGCACCTTATTCAAAGGCATTCAGGATGGAAGAACACACAAACTAACCACCATTTATCAAATCCCAGACACCTAGAATGTTTCTCATTGTCTCCCACGTCAAAATGCAGCTCCAGAGGGGAGCTGTAATGGGAGTGAGAGGCAAAGAGAGTGAGAGAGGGCAAAGGTTGGGGAGTAAGGAGAAGGAGAGAGAAAAGGTGAGAGGAGGGTGATAGAGAGGGAGAGAGAGGAGAAAAGAGAAGAAATTTAAGGAAGAAGAGAAAAGAAAAATGCTGAAGAGCAGGAAATGGTAAGTCTTATATTCTAAGACTGGTTCATTATAAGTCACCTGCTGTGATCCACTCATTCACATGGGGACCCCCTGCCAAGTGGCTGCTGCCTTCCAAGTTGTTTGTACCATGAGTTCCATGCAAGGTGACTGATATACATTCCCCAATCCACTATCTGCCTCTGTCTGTAATTCATCATGCTTATTGCTGTATCACCTTTAAGAATATGGAAATTCAAAAGGGATTAGACTCACTTACTAAGTTGCAAAAGACTCTAAATACCTGATATAAGGCTCATTAGATCACTTTACACTGAAATCTCAAATTATTCTCTTCCAATTCAGAAGAAAAGCATTTGGTTTACAGGCACTATACCCTGAGACCTGCTATGCTTATCCAACAAGACAACTTCCTGAACTGTGTCCACAGCATGACCCTGATACCCAAGAGCGAAGAAGATAATTCAAATTAAGGAAACTTAATATAAAAGTTATAGTAGGCTGGGCGTGGTGGCTCACGCCTGTAATCCTAGCACTCTGGGAGGCTGAGGTGGGTAGATTGCCTGAGCTCACAAGTTTGAGACCAGCATGAGCCAGAGCAAGACCTCATCTCTAAAAACAGCAGGGCACTGTGGTAGTTGCCTGTAGTCCCAGTTATACCAGAGGCTGAGGCAAGAGAATTGCTTGAGCCCAAGAGTTTGAGGTTGCTGTGAGCTGTGATGCCATAGCACTTTACCAGGGGCAAGAAAGTGAGCCTCTCTGTCTATATATATAAAAGTATATATAAAAAGTAAAAAAAGTATATATATATATATATATATACACATTTATATATATACTATTATATATATAGGTCATAGTAATAAGACACGAACTCCATGCTTACTGGTGCTACTATTAAATAAAAATGTGAATCAAGGGCCAAGTCATTTCCAAATACGTGACTCAGTCTCCTGTTAGACAAGACACTAAAGTCTGACACACATGACAAGTGACAGTAAACTAAAAATAAAGATTACAGATGAACTGCTTTTGCTATCATGCAAGGAAATGTATGGAGTTCACTACATGTTAGCTGAGGGAAAAGAATGCAGGCTGCATGGGGATCTTGGCTTCCTGGCTAACTCAGGACAAGAACTGACTGTGATTGCCTCTTAGACTGAAATAAGCATACATAGGGGCCACTGCAGCAGCAGGCAGAGACACCTTGAACTGCGTCAGCTCTGGTGTAAGGTCACCTCACCGACCAAACCTAAGCCAGGTGCTCAAAGGACCAAAGGACAAGAGTGCTCAGGAGGCACTGACCTGTTAGTTACAGCTGACTGTCCCCGGCCCCACCTGCTAGCCCATCTGACCACACAATCACTCCACATACAGGGGTGCAGGAACCGTGACAGAGAGGCCAGCTGGCTCAGGCCAAATGCCACTCCCTATCAAGCTGTGGGGCCGTCTGCCCAAAAAAGCCACACAAAAATGGAAAGTGTTAACCCCACCTTGAAGTACAGAGGGCTCTCTAAAAGGCTGGGATTAATGAGAGCAGCATATAAGGGAGTGCTCCCAACAATTATCTGGACGTTCCCCTTGATAGTCACAACCCCAACTCCCTTGTTGCAAAGAGACATCATTTCCATCAGAATGCCATGTTTACATAATGGAGAGTGCACACCACAGACATCTGCAACACTGTCCAATGGCGATCATTGTCCTGGCGAGCAATCCTACACAAATACTGTGTCTGCGTTTTCACTCATTTTTAGCTTTTTCTCAGAGGACCAAGGGGTCCTTCCTTCACTAAGGCTACTCCCCCCTACATTCTCTGTCTATGCCATTCATTCCGTCTCCTCTAGGTCACTGCTCTATTAATTATCTATTGCAGACTTTCCTGGTTCCTTCTCAGAATGCAAACCAGTGCTTTTAACATTTTAAATCTCATATTCCCCAAGATATTCTTTCACTCCATCTTTTTTATAACCTCATTTGCCAAGAAGATTTTGTTGAGTTTTACATTCTGTAATTGGTATTATGAAAACAATAGGTATATAGAACAGCTTTTTCGACTATACTTGCCATCTTCTTGATGCCTGAATAAGAATTATAGTTCCAAAAGTACTGAGGATGCTGACATCCTTAAAATGTAGTTACCTTGACCCTTCAGCTTTTACTTTTCTCCATTACTTTTCCATTCTGTTAGATATTTACTTGTGAAAAGTAATCTGTATTTTATAACTTCTTCTTTACCTCCCACATTTACTTCCTAATCACCTGTCATCTGCCTTTGACTCAACTATGATGAAACTGTACTGACAAAGGTCACCTGTGACTTACTAACTGAAATTGATAAGTAAAATCACTCCACAGTTTTTATGTATTTGATTTTTAATGTAAAACCTTAAAATTGCTGATGTGCCTCAGAATTCTCTGCCTTAGTTTTCAGAAGACAGACTACTCACTTGTGATTCTCCTATTCCTCTGACTGTGCCTTCTCTGCCCATATATATGAATCCTTAGCCTACTCCACACAGGTTAGTATTTTCTAAGGTTATAAACTTGTACTCTAATTTACTGCTTATATACTGATGACTCCCCAGCCTGAATACTGGGTCTAGGCTCCGCTGCTGAGCTTCAACATTCTGAAACCAAATCCCAGTGATCTTTTCTTAAAACCTGCTCATAATTTTCATGTTGCCCCAAATTTGTAGACATCACAATCTATCTGAGTGCTCTAGCCTAGGGAACTTCACCTTCTCCCTGACACTCAACATCATCCCCAATCTCTGACTAAAAAGTCAATCTCCAAACTCTACCAAGTCTACCTCCTACTTGACCAAATCCCTCTGTTTGTCTCCACTACTCTCCAGCCTCTTAACTATTATCCCACAGTTTTGCCTTATTAATTCCTATGTACCCACTAAAATGAACTTTCTTAACCCGAATCTGAGCATGTGATGCCCACGCATAACACCTTCCAGTGACTCTGAGGGTCCATAGCATAATTCAAGGAAAAAACCCTAGCTCCTGAGTTTTCAGCTTCATCCTCACCCTCCTTACTCTTTTCACTCCACCAATAGCCAAGGATGAGTGGTTGTCCAGAGGCATGCACATGCATCAGACTTCTTTTTTTTTCTAGTCCATCTTTTAATTTTTTTGAAAAATTCCTGACATTACAGAACTAAACTGAAATGTATTAATATTCTACTCTTACATTTCCATAACAGAAAAATTCATGAGCCAAAAAAAAAGAAAAAACCAAAAACAAAAATAAAAAAAAACAGGGAGAAGCTTATAAAATTAAATATGGATGGATCTCAGCATTAACAGCTGAACAGAGAAAGGAATTAAAACGCTTTAATTAAAAAATCATGAGTGGATGATAAAGTGTGTAGAAACTGAAAATTTACAAACTATTTAAAATCTGGAATCCCTGACTGTTCAGAAACTACACAGATGGATCATGGGTGGTGGTGAACAGCAGAAAGGGATAATGGATGAATCTGCATTGTTCTAGCTGCTCCCCATGCCACCCGTCTCCGAGCAAAGCCTGACATTGATTAGATATTGAGCCAGGCTAATGCTAGCAGCAGATTCAGTGATGGTAACCTGCCTGTCAGTAGATCCTTCCACTGGGTTTGCAATTTTGATCTGCGCCCCAGACATCTGACGGATCTCATTGATTTTGGCGCCCTGACGCCCGATGATGCAGCCAATCAAATCATTTGGAATGGTGAGTTCATGAGAAGTCGTCTGAGCAGATGCATCCAAATCTGCCCAGTAGCCTTTCACCTCTGGAGAGCTAGATTCAATGCCACTGAATCCGGTGTTGCCATGCGTCATGGGAAAATGAGACTGTTGCATTGCCAACTGGTGCAGCTTGGTCAAATGTGGCTGTGGAATGGCATACTGTCCTTGAATGGTATAGGCCTGACTACCTGCAAAGATGACTGGAGAACTGGACAGCTTGGGCCGGTATGGGATGGTCACGCCCTTTGGGGGGGACTGGGAGAGAGTCTCCAACATGACCACGCAGATCTGTTTGACACACTCAACGATGGATTGCAGAATGCCAGCAATAGTGATGGCCCGCTCAGTTGAGTTGGGTAGCATATCCCCTGCCACCTGGACCTGAGCCCCTGTACTCTCTCATATTTCCTTGATCTTGCAGCCAACTTTTCCACTGAGAGAGCCACACTGACTAGCAGGAACCACTAGCCTCAGGGTAACTGGAGGTCTACTGGCAGCTGTGCTATTGGTCATAGAGATGCTGATGTCCTCTTCCAGTTTGTCAATGATCATAGCAAAGGCTTTGAAGATGGCATTAGTGGGTCCAGCCAAAGTGATAATTCTTTCAGGACAATTCCCTTCTGAGATGCTGATACATGCACCACTCTCCTCACACATCTTCTTAACTGATTCTTCTTTCTTTCCAATGATACCGCCAACTTCCTTTCCATGTATAAGTAGCCAGATGGTGAGAGTGACATTTAATCCACCTTCAATCACACCGGTATCCATGTTGAGCACTGTTCTGGGGAGCTGGACTTCGAGTGGTCGAGTCTTTGGTCACTGTAGGAGCGAGGCGACTGAGGAGAAAAGGGGAACAGGCGGGAATGGGAAGGGCGGGAGGCCGGGGGAAGGCCGGGAAGGCAAGGTGGGCCCTGTGGGCGGGCGGAGGAGGAAGGGAGGGGTGGAGGAGTAGGAGGAGTAAGGGGGAAAGAGACCTCAGGGCAGATGCAGGGTGGGTGGAGGGCAGCGGAGGGCGGGCGGGAGAGGGTGCAGGCTGCGGCTGCTCTGGCTGCTGCCTCAGCTGTTCTCATGCATCAGACTTCTACAACTTGGTATGGGCTGCTACCTCTATCTAGAACTCACCTCTCCTCTTACTCCTTTTTCTCAACACAGTGCACTTTTACTTTAAAACACAAGTCAGAAACGAGAACCTCAGGCAGGAGGTTCTACCTTAAGAAATAATCATTCTTGGGCAGGGCGCGGTGGCTCACACCTGTAATCCTAGCACTCTGTGAGGCTGAGGCAGGTAGATTGCCTGAGCTCACAGTTTCGAGACCAGCCTGAGCAAGAGCAAGACCCCCATGTCTAAAAAACAACTGGGCATTGTGGCAAGCGCCTGTAGTCTCAGCTACTTGGGAGGCTGAGGCAAGAGGATCTCTTGACCCCTCGAGTTTGAGGTTGCTGGGAGCTATCACGCCACAGCACTCTACCTACGGTGACCAAGTAAGACTCTATCTCAAAAGAAAAAAAAAAAAGAAAGAATTATTCTCTCTTCAATGCTACTTCTGTACCTTCCATAAGTCTATGCTCTCAAGTGTCAAACACTACACAGCTCGCTTACATGACTGTATTACTTTGAGAGTTCCCTGAGGCCTGGGTATGTCTTAGCTGCGTAGTCTTTATGACAGTGTTAGGACAATACAGATTTCCCTGCTCCCAAGTCTCAGAGGGAAAAGCCAGGAGCCTTCCTTTCAGTGAGCTTAGTCAGAAAGAGAAAGAGGTTGGCACAGTTCCATATTTTTATTTATTTCCATTACAGAAAGGTCAAAATCTCCATAGTAGAGCCATAGCTATATGCACACATGGTACACAACCATACCATTCCAAATTGAGAGTTAAGGCAAAGTCTAGTTATAGAAACACTAACTCTTTGCCAGGGGAAGGAAGCATACGTATTATTTGCTTCACGGTAGGCTTGTTCTAGATTTACCTCATGAAAACCTTCCAACAATCCTGAGAGGCAGAAAACAACTTCCAGTTATAACTAACATGTACATCAAGGCTCAAAGAGGGTAAATAGCCTTCCTAAAGTCATTTGCTTATATATAGTAAAGCTAGGATTCAAACTAAGCTCTGCTTTCTCTTAAGACTTTTCCATGTCCTGTATCCTTGCCAGGTTTCTAAAGAAACCAAAAGATGCATCATGTAACAGCACATACTATGGCAAGAGAAAAACGTAAAAGCTTTTATTTTTATCATGCATTTACCTCTGTGTAATTTATCTTTCAGAATGTAAGTTAACTCAGGAAATGCTTTTGGAATTGCTAAGCTTAGAATGATGCCAAGTACATAGAGGAACAGGCTGATGCAGAGTCAAGCGATCAGACTGCTTGTGTCTAAGCAAGGAAGAACCAGGATTCCACAGAAAAATGCCAGCCAAGAGAGGTCTGTGCTCTGAGCCAATTCCATACAGGTAGTTTTGAGCTCAAAAGTCAGAACTTCAATGTTTTCTTTCCCATATAGATCTGGCCAAGTTTCCCCAGAAAGAAATACTGTTTCTCTTTTTCATTTCTGGTACAAAGCTCTATACTACCAAAAGAATGATTTTGTTTTTCAGCTACATAGGCAGAGGATGAATATATACAGGGATACCTCAGAGATATTGCAGATTTAGTTCGAGACCACTGTGATAAAATGAATATGGTACAAAAGTGAATCACAGGATTGTTTTTAGTTTCTCAGTGGATATACGTTTACAATACACTATGGTCTATTAGATGTACAATAGCATTATGTCTAAAAACCAATATGCATACCCTATTTAAAAAATATTTTACTGATGAAAATGCTAACAATCATCTGAGCCTTCAGCAGAGAACAGTAATCTTTTTGCTAGTAAAAGTTATTGCCTTGATTTTGAAGGCTGTTGACCAGTCATGGTGATGGCTGCTGATAGATAGGGTGGCTGTGCCAATTTCTTAAAATAACAGAATGATGAAGTTTGCTGCATTGATTGACTCCTCCTTTAATGAAAGATTCCTCTGTAGCCTGCAATGCTGTTTTATAGCATTTTACCCATAGTAGAATTTCTTTCAAAATTGGGAGTCAATACTCTCAAACCCCCATCCACTGCTTTATCCACTCAGCTTATGTAATATTCTAAATACTTTGTTGTAGGAGAACTCTTACATGTTGTAGGTGGGAATGTAAATTCATATAGCCATTATAGAAAACAGTACAGAAATTCCTTAAGAAAAAAAAAAAAAACTAAAAAAACCGGAATAATTCCTTTGTTATTATTTCAACAATGTTTACGGCATCTTACCAGTTGTTTTCATCTCAAGAAATCAGTTTTTTGTTTATCCATAAGAAGCAACTCATCTGTTCAAGTTTAATCATGAGATTGCAATTCAATCACATCTTCAGGCTCCTAATTCTTCAGGCTTCTAATTCTACTCCTCTTTCTTTCTTTCTTTCTTTTTTTTTTTTTTAATGATATCTATGTACATTAATGCAATTCTGGGGTACAGTGTGGTGTTTTCATATAAATAACAATCTTTCTTTTTTTTTTTTGCTGTTTTTGGCCTGGGCTGGGTTTGAACCCACCACCTCCAGCATATGGGGCCAGTGCCCTACTCCTTTGAGCCATAGGCGCCACCCTCCTCTTTCTATTTCTGTAAAATCTGTTATTCCTTCTTCCTCTGAAGTCTTGAATCCTTCAAAGTCATCCTTAAAGGTGGGAAATCAACTTCCTCCAAGCCTCTATTAAGGCTGATATTATAAACTCCTCTCATGAATCACAAATGATCTTAATGACATCTAGAAGGGTGAATCCTTTCTAAGAGGCTTGGCAGCTATAGTCCTATGAGAATGTTATTCTTAAATAATAAGACTTTAAAGTCAAAATTAATCCTGATCTACGGGCTACAGAATGGATATTGTGTCAGCAGGGCTGAAAACAACATTAACCTCCTTGTGCATCTCCATTAAAGCTCTTGGGTTACCAGATACACTGTTGATGAGCTATAATATCTAGAAAGAGATCTTCTATGAGCAACAGGTCTCAACAATGGACTTCAAAGATTCTATAAACCATGCTGTAAACAGATGTGTTGTCATCCAGGCTTTGTTGTTTCATTTTATAAAGCCCAAACAGAATAGATTTAGAACCATTCTTAAGGGCCCTAGGATTTTCAGAATGGTCCATGGTCACTGACTTCAAATGAAGATTACCAGCTGCATCATCCCCTAACAAGAAAGTCAGCTTGTCCTTTGAAGCTTTGAAGCCAGACATTGGCTTCTCTTCTCTAGCTAGCTATGAATGTCCTAGAGGGTACCTGCTTCCAATAAAAGGCTGTTTTGTCTACATTGAAAATCTGAGTTTAATGTAGCCACCTTCATCAATGCACTTAGCTGGATCTTCTAGATACCTCACTACAACTTCTACATTAACATTTGCTACTTCACCGTGTACTTTTATGTTACAGAGATGGCTTCCTTCCTTAAATGTCATGAACCAACCACTGTTAGCTTCAAACTTCTCTTCTGGAATTTCTTCACCTCTTTTAGCCTTTATGAAATTAAAGAGAATTAGGGCTTTACTCTGGATCAGGCTTTGCCTTAAAAGGCAACATTATGGTTGATTTGATCTTCTATCCATATCACTGAAACTTTTGCCTTATTAGCTATAAGATAGTTTTGCTTACTTTCTTTTTCTTTTGAGATGGGGGTTTCACTATGTTGACCTTCTCATTTCAGCCTCTTTCTTTCTTTTCTTCTTTTTTTGTGATACAGAGTCTCAAGCTGTTGCCCTGGGTAGAGTGCTGTGACATCACAACTCACAGCAACCTCAAACTTTTGGGCTCAAGAGATTCTTTTTCTTTAGCCTCCCAAGTAGCTGGGACCACAGGTGCCCACCACAACAGCCTGCTATTTTGTTGTTGTTGTTGTCATCATAGTTGTCGTTGTTTTAGCGTGGCCGGCGCCCTACCCACTGAGCTACGGGCACCACCCATTTCAGCCTCTTTCAAGTGGCTGGGGTTATAAGCATGCACCACTGCACCAGGCTTTATTTTGCTTTCTGATAAGTGATAATTGCTTGGTTGGTGGAGCAGTTAGAACACACACAACATTTATTAAGTTTGCCATCTCATATGGCTGTGATTTGTGGTGTCCCAGAACAATTAATACAGTAATATCAAAGATCACTGATTATAGATCCCCATAACATATATAATAAAGTTTGAAATATTGTGAGAATTACCAAAATGTGACACAGAGGCATGAAGTGAGTTAGAAAAATAGTACCAATAGACTTGATTGACATAGGTTCTGACAACCTTCTGTTTGTAAACACTTTCGGCAAAGTGCAATAGAACAAGGTATGCCTGTACATCAAACCGTGTGACAGGATTTCAACACTAAGAAATTTCTCAAGTACAGAAACCTTAGCAAAAAGGTACAAATGGCTCCATGAAGGGACCCTTTTTCACCCTACTATGCTATCCCTTGGTTTTACTACAACTCACATTTGCAGAAAAACCACAGCTTTTCAATAAGGAGAGGATTTGTTGTGGTCCTTCTTTTCAATGGCTACCCCTGAGCTTGCTGTCACACTTCAATTAGTCCCTTCAGAAAGCCCACAGAGCTGTGCGGTGATCAAGTTCATAAGAGTGTGCAAGAGAACTTCAATTTGAAGTGACAGCCTAGCAGCAGCAGCAGCGAGCTTTATAGTCATGTATTCAGGGAGTGATTTATCTCACATAACCCAATCCATTTAGTTGGGGCCTGAGGGAGACCCTTATCTAGACAAGAAACTACCAGTGCCTTCTAGGAAAAGGAGGCCAAGGCAATCAGGCAAAAGACAGCAAGCATGGCTCCTGTTTCTCTTTCCCCATAGCAA